GGCCTACGTGCAGGCTGACATCGCGACAACCATTTGCGCCTGATCCCAGTACCATACAGCCGAGGTTATCGAAAAATGAACAGGCGCACGGGAGAAGAGAAAGGGGGGGAGGCAGACCTACACCATGGAATCTACACCCTCGGCATTCTGGCGCATTCATGACAGTACACAATTCGACGCGCTTGAAGACTGGCGCGGTGCGCTAAAAGCTCCATGATTCGGAAGTTCGCAAACTGACATGATAGCTCGATCTCCTCGTGGTGGATCGTAAGGCTGCAAGGAATCCCTCTTACTATTCGCATTTGTGGCACGTCCCTAAGGCGGGACCCCAGCCGATCATCCCATACTTCTGTGTAAATCTGCTCCACTGTGAGCTAACCAGACAGGTGGAGTATGTATATACGAGCTGCTAGGTCTCGCCAACCAATGCGCCCCATTTCGCTCCCCTGTCGTCCTGCTATCAGGCCCGAGTGGGTTAGGACGGAGAATGGGGTGAGTGCTGCACAAATCTGTTACCAGTGTAAATTAGTCCACGTACAAGCTCCCATCTTACATCGTCGTATGTGACGGCTCAACTGTCTGAGTGCGCAATCAACCGACTTCATATGACGAGTTGTGCACAGGACGCCTGGGATATGTGTAGGGATAGCAGAGGCTCCCCTCGGTAAATTATTCCAGCCGTTTGTAGTTGCCATCAGAAGAAAGTGTGCGAGTATTTTTTACTTAGATAAACCCTTGCATGAGGAGCATCCCTCCGAGTAGGTTGTCCTCCTCCACCCTAAGATATGAGGACGAGGCGGCGCAATCAGTAAATATGTATTTGAAAGATAAGAGAGGCGGGTAAAAACTACTACATACTCTAGACAGTGGATGATAAAAAGATGCAAACAAAGGCCCTTATTTATCAACAGAGTGACTTTACGCCATTTTCTTCTGAGAGGACGATAACGGTGCAGATTCCGGAGGAGATAGAAGATCAAGGACCTGAAGAAGAGAAGGCGTGAGTGTGAGAAACAGGATGTAGAAACGATTGAAGTGACCAAATACAAGGCATGTCAACGCAACCCCATCTCCTTCTCTTAAAGTCATAACGCCAGCCTAAAGCAAACCAATACGCTAACACATTAGGATAATTTTGGTCGGGACGTCCAAATGTAGTTAAGCATAAACTGAAAAAATAGAGGCAAGTATGGCCTCACACGAAGAATGTGCTCTTACCGTTAATTTGACAGTAGTTGAGTGTACTTAAGAGTAGTGCGGGCCGATGCGGGAACAGCCACAGAGTGGGGTACGCTAATGCGACCACAGAATACTTAAGGCACAAAGCTTCAAAACAAGTCACTTGCCCCCCAAAAAAACAGACTAAATCGAGGATAATAAATGACCTAAATCTACTAACACTTGTCAGTGGATAGGCTGTGCCACAAACCGACCTCCTTATTGTCCTTTTCACATTCGCGGAGCAGACGAAGGGTGGCCGGCTGACAGGAGTCTTGCAAATCTACGTGGGCGTCATTGACGGCGGCGGAGATCAAGTCCACGACGGAGCTCTGAACACCGTTT